GTTCCAAGAGGGGTTAAGATGATATCTCATTGTGGTTTTGATTTGCATTTTCCTTATGATTAGTGATATTGAGCATTTTTTCATGTACCTGTTGGCCATTTGTATGTCTTCTTTTGAAAAATGTCTATTCATGTTTTTTGTCCATTTTTTAAATATTTTGTGTTGCTATTGAGTTATCTGAGTTCCTTATATGTTGCACTTATTAATCCCTTGTCAGATGGATAATTTGCAAATATTTTTTCTCATTTTGTAGGTTGCCTACTCACTTTGTTCATTGTTTCCTTTGCTGTGCAGAAACATTTTAGCTTAATGTAATCCTATTTGTCTATTTTTGCTTTTGTTGCCTATGCTTTTGAAGTCTTATCCCCCCCAAAAAAAACTTTGCCCAGACCAATGTCCTGTTGTGTTTTCTCAATGTTTTCTTCTAGTAGTTTCATAGTGTCAGGTCTTATATTTAAGTCTTTAATCCATTTTGAGTTTATTTTTGTATATGGTGAAAGACAGAAATCTAGTTTCATTCTTCTGTGTATGGATATCCATTTTTCCTAGCGCCAGTTATTAAAGAGACTGTCTTTTCCACTAACGTATGTTTTTGGCACCTTTGTTGAAAATGAGTTGGTAAGTAAGTACATGGATTTATTTCTGGGCTCTCTATTCTGTTCTGTTCTTCTGTCTGTTTTTATGCCAGTACTGTGCTGTTTTGGTTATTATAGCTTTGTAGTATAATTTGAAATCAATTATTTCAAATAATTGTGTGATGCCTCCAGCTTTGTTCTTTTTGTTCCGGATTACTTTAGCTATTCAGAGTCTTTTGTAGTTCTACAGGGGATAAAATTTTAATATAATTTTTGCTATATCACCTTTAGGACCATAATTAACTCTTATTAAGACAGCTAATTATGCTTTAATTGCCATTTTTATTGGCACCCCAAGGCATCTTTACTCTCTCTTCATTGCAATTAAAAAACAAAAACAAAAATTAGCAAGGGGTGGGGCAGGAGGTAGGATAAAAGAGTAGAAA